GCTTTCTATCAAAAGTTATTCAAAAAATAGCCACTGCTCTTGTATTTTGAAACGGATAGTAGTCAAACCGCTGTCTCAAGTATAGATTTATAAACCTTTCAAAGTTTCGTCTGTGAACATTCCGTTGAGACAAATTATTATCAATAGTCATATTACATATAGATATAGAACAATAGAGGACAGTTTTGGAAGTGAACTGTTTCATCAACATCAAATTGAATGGATTTGATTAGAAAGAATAAAATGAAACAAGAAAATCTTGACCATTGTTCTGTAGTCTTATTTAAAATTGATCCACAACTTATTCTTGAATATTCTGCAGGTTTCGTGAGTCTATCAAAGAACGACTCCATGCAGCAAAAAGCAGCCGATGCGAATATAATACCTCTTCTCATCGAAATGTGTGATGAATATCCGATGACATTCGACATCCTATGGGCACTTTCATTCAATACAGATATTCAACAACAGCTACGTTCTAATAAATCATTCATGGTCAAACTCGCTCATCTAGAAGAAGACAGTGGCAATCAGCAGATGCGTAAAATTACAAATGGGATCTTATGGAATCTTGAATCCAATCATAAAGAACGTGCAACATCAGAAACCAATGATGTAATGATGTTTGACATTATGATCAGTTACTCACACAAAGACAAAGTACTTTGTAAACAACTGTATGAAGAGCTTGCTCGAGCTGGCTATCGTGTATGGATTGATTTCGATCAAATGCATGGAAACGTGATGGATGCTATGGCACAAGCAATCGAACGATCACGCGCAATCATCATTTGCATCAGTGAAGAATATCGACGAAGTAACTATTGTCGAGCTGAAGCACATTATGCATTTCAACGTCAACTCAGAATTGTTCCAGTTCTACTACAAAAAAGTTATAAACCAGATGGTTGGCTTTTGTTTCTGATCGGTCAATTACTGTATGTAGATTTCACTAAAAATGAGTTTCCTCGAGCGATGGAAATCTTGGTGAAGGAACTCAAAGCTCTAGTGATACCTGAGACCTATGTAGCACGTGTTCAGCCGAAAAAAGACACTGATACCGTACGTCCTGTCGCACCTGTTTCACCAACACCATCGCCCTCACTGATACTTCCGGATAATATCCTTGAATGGACACAAATACATGTACAAGATTGGCTAATTGGACATAATCTTGTACAAATGTCTCGTCTTCTCGCTAATTGTGATGGATCGAGTTTGATTTATCTGAACGAGTTTATAAAAAATTGTGAACCGCAACAGGTTTTGAAGCTACTTCAAGAAGATTCGGTTCGACGAACAAAGGAAAGTTTATCACTGGTCGAATTAGCTTGTTTCCGTTCTGGTATAGATCGACAAAAACAATGACAC